TCAGTTATAATAAAGTAAGCTTGTGATTAATTATATATAACATAGAAACTAAGACTATGTTACATAACTAGCCTGTGGAATAATAAAGACTTATTGAAGCATAAGCAACTAAGAATCATTACACGGTGACTTATCATAGTTATTAGTTATGTCGTAAATTTTGACCTCTGTTTGCACAAACCCGTGTTCGTGGTATGATTAATCATATACCTCTGCATACCGATGTCTATGGATTAATACACTGAAATTAAGCTTTTTGTGGAACGCTTCTGTTCAACATTCATTCAGTGCATGCATGCACTCTGACGTTGAATGACGCTGAATGATGATGATTATATATAGTGAACTACGGTGACCACCAAACGTAACTTACGAGCACCAGAGGGAAATGCGCATTGCACACTAAAGGCTAAGCTTAAAACTGTGGGGAGGTCCATTCCTACAAATCATTTTTGACGAATCCCTGGCACCTTATTTACGCTTTATGTATGTATATCAGGTTTTGGTTGTAAGCTTCTTTTGGAAAGTGCAAAGCATTACAAACTGTTTCGATTACCCGTCTAACAGCGAAACCTTCAGTTTTATTCACACTCACTCAGTGCTTGAGACTGAACTACGGATTCGATGGATTTCTTATGACTTCGACTCCGACTCCGACTACAGCTCCGACTCCGGGCACTGCTCGTTAAGTCCATATGATAAAAGATAAGTTTAATCGTGTCGGATAACTTTTCATCTTGCCTGAAACGAACCGTTGCGCGTTCCAAGGCCTTGCATTGCAAATCTATTTTTAAATAACAAGCGGAAATAAACGCAGGTTTGGACTCAGCAGACGTCTACATCTTTTCAATTACTACGTACGTTCCTTCCAAACAGGAATATGTTCTTAGCTCAATAACATCTGATTTTGAAAGGTCAACGAGCGAACTATTGTCAAGCAAACAGGTGTAGGGCATAACTTTGAGCCATGCAGTGTTAACTCCGACTCCGTATTCGGAATCGGTAAGATTTTGACGACTCCAGCTCCGACTCTGACTCCCGGTAAAACTTGACTCAGACCGACTCCCACTCCCACTCCCACCCTGCAGCCCTGGTTTGAGAGAAGCTCCTCAAACGATCGAGGGCCTCGAAAATCTTATTTTTATAAGCAGCTTTGAGCTTAGCCGTAAGAGTCAAATGGCCTTTTCCCGGGAGCGTGCCTATCCCCGTGTCTATACCTACCCGTGCAACCTACAGATTCAAAAGGTGGCATTCGTACGCCATTCAGCTATAAAAATGAACGTGTATCGCAACAATGGAAGTACGTACTTGGCTTGCTGCCAATCAGTAATACTACTGCGCTAGAACAATGCCGGATGAACTTTGAACCTGACGCAAGGTGATGACGAGAACTGGATTGCCGAAGTACGGATCGCGACACACGCGACACCTCTGTTGGAGCTCCTTGTTAGTGTGGTGTTTCCACCGCGAGATGGCAGCGCTACTGCTAAGGGACGACACCGGCAGACGGCTGTGGGCCCGAACAGGAGACACTGGACGGTGCACAGTGGACAGTGTGACCCTGTAAAGACACTGGAGCGTTTTCCTCTTATGTTTCTTTGCTGATAATTTGGACCTTTGAAACGGGACACGGCGTTGAAATGCGGACACTCGTGCTTGAGAACTAATGACCTATACGAGAATGATCTCCGAAAGCGTGCCTGAAAGGAGCTCGAAGATACTAAAAAGGACACTACCGTTCCGTGCTTCTATCCTCAGGATACTGAAATCCTTCTCCTCCACGCCGCAATCCCCTCCGGGCTGGACAGGCAACTTTACCTATCTCATGCGGACTATTCCCTTGGAGCGGCACCGCTGCTCCCGAGGGAGCGCACCCCGTAGCCGGGTGCAATGAGTACCTTGGGGCTGGGTTGCCTGTCCTCTGGACGGGCTCAGCCCCGGTGACTCACTAGGGTGCCTGCCCAGACTAATGTCTCCCCCTATATCCTATCATCCTCCCGGCTCTGCAATCATCCTCCCGGCTCTGCAATAAAGCGACATCTTATCGACCATTTCATGAAATGGTTAACACGCGCAGTGGAAGGGTTGCGAGTACTACGCCCAGTGGAAGGGGGGGGGGCGGATGTCGCCCCCCCCCCTAAGATCTCAGCTCCCACTGGAGCTAGAAAGACGAAATTTGGAGGGTAGGTGGGGGCCCAGGGGAACTCTGTTGTGTGTGAATTTCATGACCCTAGGTCAATATCTTCAAGGTCAAATGAGGTCAAATATGGTCAAATCTGCCATATTAGCGACTTTTTTGCGTTTACACGCCGATAACTCAAAAAGTTACCGGCCGATTTTCTTTTTTCTTTCACTATACGAAAGAACATACATTTGTGAGTATGTATTGTGAATTTCTTGTTAATCCAACAATAAATATGGCAGTTAGAAGCCTGCTAAGCGTAAGATGTCACCGGCTGAAGCGGGATCGGCGGACGCGGGAAACGCGGCAATCACAATTTTTGTGTTTACACACTCATAACTCAAGTTGTTACCGGCCGATTTTCAAAATTCTTTGACCATAAGATTGCCTGTGCATTTCTTAGTCTTCTCACAAAATTTGACGTGAATCGTATATAATCAGCGGTAAGGAGCGCGATGTAAAGACGGAACCGTCCCGCCCCGGCACAGTCTACAATTCAGGCGGCGCGTAACGGCTAGCGCCGGCAGCCGCGCCGCCGCGCCGCGGCGGCAGGATGTTTGACTTTACACCGCTATTACTAGAAAAGTTGTGGCCCGATTTTTTAATTTCTTGCACGAGAAGATCCGCAGTTCAATTCTAGACAGGTAGCCAAAATTTCACATTAATATCATGTTTGCGGCGCGAGTTATTGGCGAAAAACAGGAGGGGTGGGCGAAATCCGCCCCCCCCCCCTTCCACTGCGCGTGTTAACCCGCGCCCGGCTGGGGGTCCTGGATTTCCACGCCCTGCTGGGGGGGGGTGTTTGAACACCCCCCCTTGTAACTCGGCTCCTGGGCCACGTAGCGATACGCGGAAGGCGGCGTTCGAAAGCGCGTCAAAAATAATGACGAAATTACTTCGGTCAATTTTTTGGTCAGGTCAAAGGTCAGGTCACCAGAGGTCATGGAAGGCAAAATTTCGCCGATTTCCAGGTCGAATGTCGAAAATTTTCAAGAAGCCAACGCATATCTCGGGAACCAATAGAGCTACAGCGCCGCGGAAAAGCGCATTCGATAGACCTATTAACGCCCTTTCTGAGTAATTCTCTCAGATTTGACCTAACTTCAACGGTTTTGCCTGCAGGGGGCAAAAACTGCAAAAATAGCCGATTTTTTCGGAAACAGTTTTTCTGCAATAACTTTTGACCCAAGCGCTGTACGAGCTTACTTTTACCGGCATCGTGTTCCTCTCGTCAAGACGCATCGAATGAACTATAACTTGACCTTCAAAGGTCAACTTGAAAATTTGACCTCAGGTCAAGGTCATGACCTGACCGGAAAAGGTCATGTTGCATATCAGTCGATCCGTATCGTCGAGCTGAACACATCTAAGGCGTTTTGATCGCTCTAGCATGCCTCTATCAAAAGTTATTTGCGAAAAACTGTTAGATACCATTCGTGACCTAAGATGACCTCAGGGCATAAACAAGGGTCACGGACGCCATTTTCATGTTCAGTGTGTCTAAACCACTTGTAATTCGGTGTTTGGGAGTGTTTATAATGTCTTTCGTGCAAAAGAGGCGCATTTCAATTTTCTCCCATTGACTTATAATGGGGAGGTCGCAAAATTGACCTGACCTTAGGTCATCGATATCAAAATTCTGAGATATACATTTTGTACATGCTATTGCTCTTAGCAATCGCTGAAAGTTTCAAAGCGATCGGTCACTCGGTGTAGCTATGACAGACATTGAAACTTTTTATGAGGTGAGGTCACTTCAAGTGACCTGGTGACCTGACCTTGAATGACCTTGGTCTGAAATTTTCACAACATGTGTAGAATTGATGTATGATAAGGTGTACCAAAAACGGCGGCGCGGAGCGCCGCCGTTTTTGAGATATTCGCGAAAAACCACAAGGGGGGGTGTTCAAACACCCCCCCCAGCAGGGCGCGGGTTAATGGACCGAAAGGGCCGAACCCAACAAAACAAAAACAAAAATAAAAAGGACATGAGAAGTCCCGAGGTCCCTTAATCAAGACAAGGTGAAAGGGGGAGATAAAACAAACTAATGTCTCTCCCTCTCTCTCTCCCTGTCCTTCTCCCTCTCCCTCTCTCCCTCCCTCCCCTCCCTCTTCCTCCATCTCTCTCTCTCTCTCTCTCTCTCTCTCTCTCTCTCTCTCTCTCTCTCTCTCTCTCTCTCTCTCTCTCTCTCTCTCTCTCTCTCTCTCTCTCTCTCTCTCTCTCTCTCTCTCTCTCTCTCTCTCTCTTTCACAGCTTTGAGAGGTTTCTCAGAAGTTTTCTTTGGGGGCACACCTAACATCGGCACAAATAACTGCGGCACCTCCCGTTAGATCACATGCTCTGCTTGTACCCCTGCTGATATAACGTAGCGATAATGACGATAATATAATGCCGGGCTCGTGGCCGCGTCTACAAGTCACCGATAGTGCATCGGTAAAAGTGTATGCATGCAGGATGCGCATTGCAATCCCTGCCTCTGCCGATTTGCATCTCATCAAGAGAAACTGCGGCCGGGTTTCTCGCTTGTCGGTTGTCGTCAGCAGCTCGTAGAGTGGCTCGATGGGACTGCAGAGGTTACCGTGTGAGGGCAGGGTTTTCTGAGTAGGTACTGTGCACTGTGTGGGGTCAGCGTCTGTGTGAGGTTTCTGGTACAGTGAGGTCAGGGTACGTTGTGAGGGTACTTTCACAGGTACGAGCTCTTGGAAATAAAAGAGGGTCTCAATTTTGGTCTTGTCTTGAGTCCCGACAACCGCCGTTTTTGGAATCTGCGAACCACTTCCAGCTCGTATACCACGGCGGCTTGGGTTTCGAAAAGACTTGTCACAGTAATTGTTTATATCTCACATCATCAGCGGATGAGATGTCATCTAACGTCTACACACTATAGTATGGATAACAACAAACAACTCCATCAAAACACGTACTTATTTCACCGTAACAGAATACTTTAAAATTAGATAACAGAACAAGTATCCGTAACAACAAACATCAATTGGCGCTGCACGCTGGTATGACCGTAACAAAGGTAACAGGAACAACTCGTAACAATGATTGATATGTCTGTCGAGTTAATTGTCCCGCAGAGAGCTAAGCCATGAGTTAGAAGGCTCATATGAAAAAAGATGTCCGGAGACCTAACAACTTCGATGACCACAGATGCGTCGCTTATTTTTTTAGAGTCAATTAAAGTTACATAAAAGCATGCGCAGCCAAACCATATTCCAACGTTTCATCCCACCAATGCATCACAGCAGATCGTTTACCCGAATAGCGTTTTAACAATGTAGAGTTGTCGCTGGAAGCAATCCCTATCGTAACAATGGTAACAATTGTAGCGTAACAATCCCTATCCCTATCGTAACAATTAACATACACACATACACTCATTAATACTACCAGGCCGCAGTTTCGTCCTACAATTGTTCATCACTCGCGCAAACACATCCCTGCAGTTGATTGGCACACCATTTTGATCCGTATACCTATGGCAACGGCTGCGGTTTCAATGCGCTTCTCGGAGCTGTGAATCTTCTCTGACCCTTTTGCGACTCAGTGCGGTCCTTGAGTGTTGTCAGGGTCCGCTAGTTGCACTTTGTTTCACTTCTAGTGACGATTGAAGTTTTCCTGAAGCTCACGAGGGTGTTGTATGATATGATAGCAGCAGCACGACAGTGCGAGCATTTAGAAACAAACAAGTGGAACTACTGCGGCATTCGGCGACAAAGCATTGATAACACCAACAAATGTGTGGTTATGGCGAAACTTGCAATCGATATGGTCGTGTACTCTTGGACGGACGCCTTTCTAAAAGTCCGAGATAACTAAATATCATTGCGGTTGAGTATTCTTGGAGTATTCTATAGTGAACATCTGGGTCTCAGCAGGCATCGACTGCTCGCTATTGATCATAACTCGGACGCAGCTCGGGCTAAGTTGGCAAGCTGCTCCTCGCTTCGCAGTTCACACACGCTGACAAATGCTCGATGATGTACTGTCTCCGGCGGCTACTCTTCAGTCAGGTGACTCACAGCTCTGCTGTACTGTTGTCCTGTGCTGTAAGTGTTGCCATTAGCTTCGCGCTGGCAGGCTCCCCGCTAGACTTACATTCTTCCGAGGCTGTTGGTGGTCAGCCTTCGCAGGCTCTCCGACGACTCCATTCGCTCCTTGATGTGTTTCAGATTCGCAGGCCGCCTGTCGTGGAATAAAGACACTCCGTTAGGAGGCTGCCAAGTTACTAAATTCGTGTTACATGATGTTTCGTAAGCAAACGAAAATTGGGCGTGAACGGTCGTCGCTGTGATATCGCCGAGGCGAATGCGATTCCAATTACGAAGATAACATCGGGATAAACACTCAATTAAAAAGTTTAAAACACTTATCTGTGTACAAAAAAAAAATGCATAATCGGTAACCCAACTGAAGTTTACGCTCTATTTCCGTGCCGACGCCGAGCATTATCAGCCTATTTTGGCCACCACATTCAAGCGAATGAAGAAAGCTAGAAATTGACATTTTTCATTACAATAACTATCACGATGTTCCAAATTAAGCCAGTATCATTACTCTCCCTGACCCCTGCACTCTCTCGGCACCTGATGTCCCCACCGACCTGTACTTGTTCTCTGTGACCGTGGAGTAGAGCGACTTCTTGCAGTCGCGGTAGTACTCGTAGCAGGCGCCCCGCTCTCTGCCGGTCTTCTCCGCTCTCACATACTCGGGGAGCACGTCTTCGGCGAACGGTGAGAGACTCACCCTGCACGAGAGGGGGGATGGAATGGAGAGATAAATCGTCAAAATAACAACAAATGTGTTTTTAATTGACGTTAGATACTCGTACATGATATGAAGAAAAAGGGCATAAATAGCAATCGACCTACATTAAAAATCCGATGTATTTCTTCGAATTCTTCGGCTGCAAGGCATTAAAAAAAAAAAATAGAAACTTTTAATTATTTAACTATGGAGAAAATGCTTTCTCATATATAAATGTGTCAAAACTCAAAACAACGGCACATTTCGAGGCTCCTGCACCAAACGCAAAATTAATGTGCCTCACACACCCAGCGTTTATCTAAGTGCCAATGAAGGCCAGTGAGTGAACATTGATCGATACCCACATCACGTGCACGTGGCTCGCGGCGCCTGGCGAAATTCCGCGGAGGCCTCCTCTCTGGTCAGAGGCCGCACCCACCCCTGGAGCGGGAGGCGGGCCGACCAACGAGACAGAGAGGCCTCTGAGACAATTAGGCCTCTGAGACTGGCGGGTCTCTGAGAGAGATGCGTTCTCTGAGACAACTAGGGCATCTGAGGCAACAGAGTCTCTGAGATAGACTGACCGGTGAGACAGTCTGCACTGTAAAAAAATCTTACAAGCCCCTTGTAGGAAAACCGCTGGCGCAAAAATGAGCATGCAGCGACGTGTAAAAATCGCCTCATATTTAGCTAGTAAGAGGGTACAAGCTTGTTTCGTTAGTAAATGACAAGCCCACGCCTCATAAACCGAGCACCCCCGTGTCAGCCCCTCGTTTCGTTATTCGGTACCTCGTTTGAAAACGAGGGCAAAACCAGCAGATCGGTACGCCGATTAGGCTCCTTAGCAGGACTCGCCTGGTAACCCAACCAGCTAGCGCCTGCTATTGCTGCCCAGTAGTAATAGGGGAGACCCGGGAGGTATGGGCCCCCTGGAGGTATGGGCCATCGCAGTTTTGAAGAAGTGTTGCGTATTTTTACACATTTGACGGCGTTAACTGGTAGCAGCCATTTCGTTATACATCCCACGTGATTTTCAAAGCCTTCCTCAGTCTTCTTTGGCAATGAGCGGTGATAAAGCGTTTTTGCCCTCTTCGAGTAAAATACGGTACATACAGAAAATTCGTGATAAATTTGAACCAGGCTCGTTTTATGATGTCAGACCTTCGCTAATATAAAGTTTAAAGCATGCAAATTAAGACTGGATCGACAATATGAAGCTTTCTTGCAAGATTATGAGCTGAGATGCTACACACATTATGGCGTCCTAACCGGGAGGTTCGGGCCACCCACCCCCGGTGATCCTAAAAGAATAAAAAGATGCTTTCATTTAATGTCCTCGTCAATAAGTTTTATTTTTGTCGCGCAAGGTCGAAAATTTAACTACAAATTTGATTCGAACAGAAAAATATTATTGATCTTAGTTCATGGTGCATGATTGTGTTTACCAAAATACATATGGGCCCAAGAGGCCTCCATGAAGCAAGCTGTTGGCCGCTTATGCGGTTCCTGGGCTCTAAGAGAGATCAAGGTAGATACCAGCTACGAGCATTATTCTTATTGTCGAGACAAGAATATGAAACATGGCACCGGCCCATACCTCCCGGGCCATGGCCCATACCTCCCGGTGTATTTTGATGGATCGAAAAAGCACATGATTTATTGAAAGTTATCTCGAGACAAAATAGTTGATCCCAGATGCCTAATATCAGGCACACGTTGCAGGCGAAAGGCAATTCCACGTACACAGAGTGAAAAACCGAGTCTAGCCACAGCCCACTGGAAGAAAATTGCCTTTTCACAAAACCGGCCCATACCTCCCGGGTCTCCCCTACTAGTTCAATTGCGTCACCCCCCCCTCTCCTCCTCCCCAGCCGCCCCTCCGACTGGTGGACGACCCGGCCAACGACAGCCACGACAGCGTGCCAACCACGTTACAAAAAAAAAAAACACACACACAAAAATAACGTTTATTACTTATCAGCATACGATACAAAATATATAAATATATACATATTACAATATCATAGTGGAGTGGTGCAAAAGCTGATTCGAGTCACCACCAATAACATTCACAAAATAATACGGTTGCATGAGACACGATCGGGCAGTTCCACGGACTCTGACGCAACGGCACTTACAACAGGCGAGTGAGCAAGTTGATCCTGCCATGTCAGGTACATTGTGCACTGTGCAGGCAATCAAATATTTGCCATACTTTGCAGATTCAAGCAAGTATTTTTTTCTGGGCGAGGCTTACCAACAGAAATATCGCTGGCTTCCGGTATACCTTCATGCCTCAGTCTCCCACAACTTTGAGCAACTCTGCAAACAGAAAAGAAAATTAACTGCTGATTTTGAAATATCAGTGAGGATGGCTTTATTATCTACATCAACTGACTTTTGTATAAGATAAATCAATGTGAGGCAATATGACATGTAGCTTACACATTTGGAAAAAAAGGCTAGACAGCAACTGAAAGAAAGTCCGTCTTCCAATAGTCGGAATTCAAACGAAACAGTGGCCCACAACGGTCAAGGGGTGAATTCTATGAGGCAACATGTGTTCAGAATATTACAAAATAGATAAAATGTCGCCCATTGCTACGTAAATATCATACAATATAACGTACCTTCAAAATATCCCAGTCCGAGAACTTCACAACGCACCGTGCCACAACACAACCGCACCAACCGCCGGCAGCCGCAGAACTGAACAATGGCGGCCGGAAATGACGGCCCCGCGCCGGAAGTGAAGGACGCGTTTTAGAAGCAGCCTCAGACTCGTCGCTGCTCACCGTAGCAGGGATTTATGAGGCACTACCGAATCAAAGTCGCTTCGCCTCATTCGGCAACACGAAAACCCTACCAGGACTAGTCCGATGATGAGTTTCCGACTAGGTGGCGTGTGCGCAGGATTATATTTAAAGCACGTGCAGGGCGGTGCCTCATTAGCCGACATAATAATAATATGACACGATAATGAAACACGCATGTAACTAGCATGCAACAAGCTTCTGGCGGATTTAATTATGAGACTATGCGTAGTTTTCCGACACAGCGCGAAATCTGTTGATAAGCAGGAAGGGGTGTTAGGGAAGCATTTAAGTTATTAGGTTACCGTTTGTAACCAATTGTTTCACGAGGCCACTCTTTAACTAACAACTCTCAGGCTGATAATGTCCCTATATATAACAGCAAGGTACAATGGACGACCGTGTAACCCACTCCTTGTCATAGAATTGGCTCGTGACATTTTTTTACAGTGTGATCTCTAAGACAGGCTGACCTCTGAGACAGACTGACCTCTAAGACAGGTGGCCGGTGGCCCTCCGAGATCCATCGACCTCTGAGACAGACTGACCTCTAGGATAGACGTCCTCTGACTTCTGAGACCTCAGGAGGTATGCGACTGCGCTCACCTGAACAGCATCTGCAGAAACTCTCCGAAGAGGCCGTGGTAGGGCAGTGGGTGCTCATTGGTCTCGCAGATGGCGCGGAGCAGGCAGGCCTTTCCGTCGTGGCCCAGGTTTCCCAGGTAGTCCTCGATCATCTCAAACATGACCAGCCTGCGAGCAGCGGGGTGCGTACGGGTCAGTCCAGGGAGAGAAAGGGGCTGCTTGATCGGGTGACTTGGTGTTATTTAGTGAAAGTATTTTGTTATTTATGTGGTAGATCCGCATATGGTTTGGGCTAAAGACAACCACTCGCCCTACCCAGTGCGTGTACATTTAAATCAAATATGCACAGATTAATTGCAGACATACCGGCATCGCAAGTATGTACCTACCTAGCTGCCACGCCTCCACAACATCCAGGCCCTGATCACGTGCATCCATATCTTAGCGTATGTACTCTTTCCGTCGGGACAGTCTATCTGAGCGTACTCTTCCCGTTCAAGTGACACTAGAGTCATGAGTGCCCTCATGACCGAGTCAGCGCCGTGATCCGGGTCCGCCCCTTGGCACATATTGCCACCTGACGGGGCCGGAGGGTCGGCAGTGACCTCCAACTCTATATGTCGTACTCAGACATCTGACGTGGCCTGAGGCACGGCACCGACCTCCGGGTCTGTCATCTGCCGACTGCCGCCAGCAGAGAGATGGGTGGCTTTCGTATAGGACAATGGTGCCGAGACGGGCTGACCTGGGTTTAAGCGATCGGGAGTCGGAACTTATAATCGATCGGACCGGGGTCACGTTAGCAGTTGGTTACTAAAGTCGGTGATAGAGGGGAGAGAGAGAGAGAGAGAGAGAGAGAGAGAGAGAGAGAGAGGGGGGGGAGAGAGAAAGAGAAGATGGAGGTGAGAGTCGAACGAGTCTATAAAGACATTGTTAACACCGTGACTTTCATAATTTATATGAATTCAAAAGCCGGGTCACATGTGGTGTCCTTTGTAGCCGAACTGGAAATAAAGTAGCCAGTCATTCCTAGCCGTCATATTAGGCTTGAATCCTTTAGGTTGGTGCTTTGTATTTCTAATGTTATGCATCACTTGGTTCGTCATAAACAGACGTCAACCAAGCTATTCAACTGACCTGTGGCATCACTATAGGTCGAAGCTCGACTTCATACATTCGCGTAACATCGTTTGAGAAGAATAACTGACATTGTTGCAGGGATTACTGCAATAAGTTAGCTATTCTCGGCTTGGGTGAACAATCCCACTTCCAAATGGACGAGAAGATGCTATAACCCTTTGGAAAACTGCTGTGAAGCCGCAGGTAGTTGCCAAGACACACTGTGATTGTCGGACAGGCCAATTATCATATTATACCACCTTATGGCTCATGGGTCATACCCTCCCTCGATATCCACTCCTCCGATGGGAATTCCGTCTCGTGCGGTAGCTTATACGGTTTCGGACGGGCACCTTGTTCCGCCTCGCTAGTTACGGACCTGTGCACCCTGCCGATCTATCTCTCTGGCTGGACTGCGCCGGGCGAAAGTGGTGGCTGAAACGGGTAGTGGTGTTGTATGGAACACTAACAGGATGCCTACACTTATCGAAAGAGCTTAAGGCGGTCCGTAGTTGTTGGTGTTCAATGACATACAAAACGTGTGAAGACTTTTTCTGGATTAGCTGTCATCCTCCTTGGAGGACAGATGATATGCTCAAGAAGAGGCAAGAAAAGGTGGTTGATTAGCAAATGCCCACACATTCAATCGTCTTGGTTGTGGCAATTACGCCTACCAAAAATATGGTACATACAAGACTCCTGAGACATTGAAACATATCAACCGATGCTACCATAACGTCATTAAGTAACATCGTTTTCTATGTTCTCTATGACATTTCTCGGACCTAACGCACTTGGTCACGTCTGTGTTGCCGAGCGCTTCTCCCGCTGCTCGGTGGACCACCAGTCGGTCAGTAGCACACGGCTCGAGACGGTAGGGAAACATGTAAATGAGTCGGGGATTTGGAGAGGGAAGGTCGTCGAAAAGCGACATCCAGACGCCGCCACAGCGACAGTGCCGAGATGGAACAAGATTACAGCGGCCGGAGAAAAGGCCTGTAAATAGTCGAGAAGGGACCTAACCCAGTTACGGATATGAAGAAGAAAGTGAGATAACGCCACAAGAGGCTATCAGTCATTTCGGAAGGCGTTCAGAAGGTTTTATGGCGCCTCTTTCAGTTCGGATCTGTAAGGATGTGGTCGATCTGTTAAAAGGTGAATCAAGTTAGGAACGTTAATTGATTTTCCAGGCTCAGGGATGGAGATCAGAGCATTTATCTCGACGACCTTGCACTCTCTCTCTCTCTCTCTCTCTCTCTCTCTCCTCTCTCTCTCTCTCTCTCTCTCTCTCTCTCTCTCTCTCTCTCTCTCTCTCTCTCTCTCCTCTCTCTCTCTCTCTCTCTCTCTCTCTCTCTCGCTCTCTCTCTCGCTCTCTCTAAAATTTAATGAAAGTAAAACTTATGAAGCCACCGAGAAGCAGGCTACGTTATAAAACTAACTATACCAGTAAAACGCCTTTTGGGCGAGGAACGAGCGAGCGAGATAGTGAGCCCTGCACCTGCAGAAGGGCGAGAGGGTGCTTCCAACGGGCTTGCCCAAGCACCCTTCTAACTGGTGGCTAGCGGTGTGCCAAATTTGAACGCAATCGGCCCAGCCGTTCCTGAGATCTGGAAGCGGCATTCTGCACGTGCGCACGTGCAAACGGGGTCCAAAATGACTTTTGCACGGCACCCTACTAACTGGTCCCCAACCGTGTACCAAATTTGAGCGCAATCGGCCCAGCCGTTCTCGAGAACTGGAAACGCCCCCTGCACGTGCGCACGTGCAGTAGCACCCTAATCGCAACACATGGGAATGCATTGCCTGGTGGGTGCCTACCTGTATGCCAAGTTTCAGCGAAATCGCCCCAGTAATTACCGAGTTACTGAAATGGGAACAAATTTGGCACCTCTTATTGTTGTATTTTGCACGTGCACTGGGGGTGACCCACATGCATCGAGAGTATCCTATTTTGGGTAGAAGGGATGCTGCTACCCTACAAAAATTACCGCAAGTCAATCGCCCAAGCGGCTGCTGAGATATGAGCCTCTCAAAATCACTAATTTTGCAAAACAGCTTGAACACCCTTGACTTTTCACGTGGCACGTGCCACGACGGTCACTGAGATGTATCAAAAGTAGTCAATTACGGGGTAGAAGGGATGGGGCTACCCAACAAAAAAGATCACAGGCCAATCGGTCCAGCGGTTGCTGAGATATAAGCCTCTCAAAAACGTTACAGGCCGGGCCGGGCCGGGCCGGGCCGCTCATACTGAGATTTTTCCGTTATATTGAAAAGACTCACTTAGCTCGCTGCGCTCGCTCGCCCGTAATTACGTTATTATATCCATCGGTACAGTTTCAGAGCAGCACTTCAGCTGGCGCCAAGGTGCATATTACCTAGCACAGTAGGATCATATTCATGTCGCCTATTGATCATGTCGCCAGCCTCTGCACTCGGTCTATTCAAGGCCAAGTGAAGCTGGAGATCCCCGACAGCCAGCATCAAACCCTGTGACCGCGCGGAGAGCTTTCGCCGATAAAGGCTGCAGATGACCCAGAATGCAGTGCTAGTCAACTGCTGAGAGGGTCACTGTCCACAGAGCTCGCAACAGGGCTGGACTAGAGAATATAGAGACTGTCCGTCTCAACAGCTCCGTTAATCATACTCTTCCTGCTTAAAGACCGGTAGTCACGCACACCTAGTAGGACCGTCCCGGCGATCGGCCTGTACTTGTGAGGTCGTGTTTTACAGCCAATGAATACCACGTGCGCAATAGTCGCGAGCAAACTCGTCATATGAGATCAAGAATTGCCTTTAAACGATGGCAATAAGCGGTTATTTTAAAAATTTCACAATGAATGCGTTATTTAATGTCGGCATGATGTTTGAATAGTGGTTCTGTCCCCCCCCAAAAAAAATAACAGGGCTATGCTTTTTTGTCTCAAGTGTCGTCGGGGTTGTACTTCTCACCATCTCCGAGAGATATATGCACTACGCGACTTATCTGAATTCTAAGAGGTGCAGTTTGTTAGCTTGCACTTATCCAGAGGGTTGCAGTTCTTATTACCTGTCACCCAACAAGTTCGGGTTGAGGCTCTAACCTGTTTCCAACGGTGTTAAGGTCACCTGTCCTGTCACCAAGGCCGTACCTGCACCCAAGCGGGTGCGGGTTGCAGTTCTTACCTGTCACCCAGCGGGTGCGGGTTGTAGTTCTCGCGGCTCCTCTTGAAGCGCCGGTGCTGGTGCTCCTCGCGGTGGTGCTGGTGGGAGCGTGCCGTGCGGTAGTAGTGGTTGGCCTGCTCGCTGGATCCGTATCCACCGTGTCCACCGCTGTATCCACCGCCGTATCCACCGTGTCCGTTGTGTCCACCGCCTCCGAACACGGCCAGAAACCCGCCCAGACCGTCCGAGTGTCCCGCACTCTGACCACCATGTCCGGCGGGCTGTCCGGCAGGGTGCCCCGCGGGGTGTCCCGCAGGATGTCCCGCAGGCTGTCCGGCAGGCTGTCCGGCAGGCTGTCCGGCAGGATGTCCGGCAGGCTGTCCAGCATGTCCTGCCGCTCCGCTCGCCCCCGAGCCGCTAGCCCCGGTCGGGTAGTCGGGGTAATCATAGTCGGCCGGCGCCTGACCGTCTCCCTCGCCTCCACCGTCGGCAGCGGCGGGGTCCTGTCCGTCGTTCTCTCTGCCCTCCTCGCCCGCGTTTTCACGACCGGCCGTGATTGAGATGCCCGGGATCAGACCCCACGGGTTGAACTCGTCCGTGATCCCGAAGTCGTCGAACGTCACTAAGGGGTACACAGGAGGATGACGTTAATTTCGGGTAGAAATGGATGCTAATGTCACTGCAGGTATAAAAGAGGGCCCCAGAGAAGTGCTTTAATTTAGGCAGTTTATTATTTTGCACCAATCTAAGTTAAATATTTGTACCTCTATGTTTTGTCGGGAATGTCAGAGCCTATGTCTATTGTCTATGTCTGTGTTCATGGGTCAGGCTACGTCCGGTTGTGGAATGTGGAGTATCTATAAGAGTGTCAATGGCTAATAACTGAAGAGGGTAATGAAAATGTACTCTAATATATATAATGTGATGGCAACGATACTGTGATAAACATGTGAGATAGCATTGTGGGATAAATAATATAACACGGTTGCTAGTACATAAAAAGAGAATAATGAAATAGTAAAATACCGGTTAAAGGGACCCTCCCACCTTCAAAAAAGTAAATGAATTGGCATGAAAGTGATGTCGCTCGTTTCAGAAAGAGTGAAAACGAATATCTACCAAATTTCATCGAAAAATATCCACCGGTTTTCAAGATATTAGACTTTTACTTTTGTTTACTTTTTGGAATCTCCGCTGTTCCTAGCGAATTTATTTGAAAGTGCGGCACTTGTTGCGCGCAAAGCAGCATATACCACCGCGTGCTACAAAACGTTTTAGTCAAACATTTAAAAATCGTTAGATATCTGCGCTGACGTCACACATTCAGAGGGGTATTCCTATGCATTAGCCCCTCTGAATCAAAATGCTGCAATTTTGAAATTCAATATTTCCGATTTAAGGCATTTCTCGATGTTGTGGGTGCCGAAACCGGTAATTGTGAGCCAGGGACCCCATTTTGGCTATCTCAACTCAAATCTAATGTTAAGGTGGGAGGCTCCCTTTAAGACATGATATTTTGAAAACAGGGAACACCTTTTGAGCTTTGCATTTGTTATTAATAGCATTACTACACCATATATCAATACCTTCATAGTTCAAGGGGAATTTATAGGGAAGCTGCTGTTCTAACGTGTTACATTGAGTCAATTCGCTACTGGCCGCCATGGTTATGCAAGGCAGTGAGACCAAGCGCTGAAAAGCTCACACCCTGACTGGCTCGAGGAATTCTGTGGCCATCGATATAACGCTTCAATCGCGCAATTTACTAACTTAATCGCGCCGAGCTGCAATGTCGTAAAGCCGACCTGAAGCCGGCAACGAAACAAGTGGGAATGCTCCGCTCGAGTGGCGAAAGGGATTCCTGCAGCCCGATATAAAGTATTGGGTCTGTTCCAGTCGCACTTCCTCTAACACCTCTAAAGTCCTTCAGGATTGCTTCCCTGTTCCAGTGGCAGCTCTAGCCCCTACAAAGCCAAGGAGGGCCCTGCTCCAACCTCGTCTATCTTGCTCTTGGAGGAGTTTAGAGGTGTTTGAAAGTGCGACTGGAACAGACCCATTGTCACATGAGGAGCAATTGACCTTTGGATGACCTTTGGTGACATGACATTTGGTCTAACTGGTAAATCCGAAGCACTTCTATGGTTATGTCAGCTGTTTCGACCACCGCTTGATGCCTAGCATTTAAAGCAGGGACCAAGTTGCAGCCCAAGGGTGGTCCATTATCAAGGAGGGGACAAAGAGGGGGCCGTCATATAACGTCCCCTCGTCATTTGGTATCCTGCACGAACTACCAAAATGGAGGGAGCTCATATTAATGGACGCTTGTCTAAAGTTCAGCGTATCTCAACGGAGGGAGCCCTCGTCTCTCCTAAACTGACATTATGTGCACAGATTCTCAGAAAACTGTGGAACGTTTAAAGCAATGCATTATGAATGGTGCACGGTGGGGAAGACGGGCATCATTCATCCTGGTCACTTTGAAGGAGGAGCACAGCGGCGGCGGTTGCAGCGCAAACTTTCACCGTCTGTGGCTCACACAAAGATGTGCGAAGAGAGATGCACGCGGTATGTGGGGCAGTATAGGGGCAGGGAGGGTGCATCAGGATGCAGGGTGGACGGGCAGCGCACGGAAGGGGAACTGTGGAGTTCGGAGAGTTTTGCAACTGCGCTGGGCAGGCAGCAAGACAATGCACAGGGTATGATGCGAGGAATACCAAGCAGGGAGCATACGCGGCTGTGCAGTAGACATGCCCTAATCGATCAATATTGCACTTTACAGAATGTATGCAATATTGAATAGAGAGTAATAGGGAAATATTAAGTGCTTAGCTGACAAAGAAAAGGTCACGAAAATGATGGACAGTTAATTACAATGTAATGCTTCAGTTCAAGTCCTATGTAATAAGTGTGTTAGCTTTCAACTTAAAGGGACCCTCCCACCTTAACATTAGATTTGAGTTGAGATAGCCAAAATGGGGTCCCTGGCTCACAATTACCGGTTTCGGCACTCACAACATCGAGAAATGCCTTAAATCGGAAATATTGAATTTCAAAATTGCAGCATTTTGATTCAGAGGGGCTAATGCTTAGGAATACCCCTCTGAATGTGTGACGTCAGCGCAAATATCTAACGATTTTTAAATGTTTGACTAAAACGTTTTGTAGCACGCGGTGGTATATGCTATTTGCGCGCAACATCTGCCGCAAACGCCGCACTTCTAAAATAAAGTCGCTAGAAACAGCGGAGATCCCAAAAAAGTAAACAAAAGTAAAAGTCTAATATCTTGAAAACCGGTGAATATTTTTCGGTGAAATTTGGTAGATATTCGTTTTCGCTCTTTCTGAACCGAGCGACATCACTTTCATGCCAATTTATAAACTTTTTTGAAGGTGGGAGGGTCCCTTTAACATACACATAGAGCCTATCGTTTAATTGGCACCGAGATGGTCGTTATATCGGATTCGTAGAATTAGAATGGAGCTCACTTTTGAACGGCACCGAGATGGTCATGTCAGATGAGTAGCCGTCGGGCAGGTTCCTCAGGAAGGGCACCAGCAGAGTCGGCGTCAGCACGAACACCGTGCCGGGCGGGAACGTTATCCGCTTCTCGTCGTAGTTGTAGGCGATGAACCGCTTCTCGCGGCTGTGTGACTCATTTCCTGAAAGATCGATGTCAAAATGTGTCAGACAAAGCAGAACTGATACTTAATAAATGAACATTCAAACGTGTAATCGGCGGTGACCATGAGTAATAAGTTGATCATCCCAGCCTAATATTTGAGAAAAAAATAAACTTTTTTATTTGAGAGAAATAATATCTGAGAAATTAGTAATCTAAACCTACCGCAAAATAATACCTTCACAAAATCCATTTGGGTAAAAGCGGCCGTGATGTAAAGGCTAAATTATATAGGTAAACAGGATATACATTTTTGCTCATGCGCTGCAGTCGTAGTCGAAATTGAGACTTCACCTGCTGATGTGGCATTAACGTTATGTCGGTAGAGGTCTTCGAGGTCAGATGTGGCAATTGGGGTCATCATAACCGCTAGGAGACATCCTAAGAGCAGTGGAGAGGGAGACATCCTGCAACGAAAAATTAGGAAGTCACACTTATGCAATACATATTTGCCGGAAAATGTTATTGTTGGGAGATGGGGCTTGTTGCAACAAATACGATTCGATTATAGTTCGGAGGGAAGAATACATAGATCGATAGAGAAAAGAGGTGGGATGAGAGAGAGAGAGAGAGAGAGAGAGAGAGAGAGAGAGAGAGAGAGAGAGAGAGAGAGAGAGAGAGAGAGAGAGAGTGAGAGAGAGAGAGAAAGAGAGAGAGAAAGAGATAAAGAAAGAGAGAAAGAAAGAAAGAAAGAAAGAAAGAAAGAAAGAAAGAAAGAAAGAAAGAAAGAAAGAAAGAAAGAAAGAAAGAAAGAAAGAAAGAAAGAAAGAAAGAAAGAAAGCACACGTCACTCCTGCATCGCACACGTCACTCCTGCCGCCTCTCGTCATAGCGTTGGCGCGCGCGTGTGTGGCTCCCTTCCCGTCATTTACACACACGTGTGAAGTTTACAACCCGTGTTCCGTCGTTTACAATCCGTTCCCCTTATTTACAAACCCGTTCCAGTCAGTTACAAACCCTTCACAGTCTGACAGATTGTCAACACTCTACCATTGACGTCATCCAACGTAACACTATCGCCGCCTGAGAAAACAATCGGATCATTAACGCCTGACATGCGCCGTCTCCTCCACTACAGCTGAAGCCCACTTTCCCGTCGAATTAGCTGATTCCCGAGATTTCAGGAAGCTGTATTGTGCTTAGTATCTCCATGGAGACACGGTTCACTGTTCACTGATCACATGGTGTTAGATCATGTGACCCAGGAGAGGGTCGCTTACAGTTTACGGCTCTGCCTGGCGGCATTGATGTCGCAATATCGGTGACGATGACGGTTCATCTGCGCCAGACTACCGGTACTAGAATAGTGCCTTTCTGGTGCCGTCCTATAGGCATCTTTTTTATGTAGGACGTGTTAGCTGATAGAAATGCAAAATAGCCCACGTGTCCTAGAAGCGACCACTTGGTTTTTAGGCTACGTATAACGTCATGTCAATAAAGCTAATCGCATTGCAGTGGAACTCATAAGCCAAGAAAGTTGAAGATTAAGTGACACATTCTCAGACACAATGACCCTGGATGCAATTCAGCATCAAGCAGTTGGTTAAGACGCCGTAAAGTCGAGTTAGCCCGTAAAAAGCATTGCCGCCTCGGGAGGAGCTGGCTAATTCTTTTAGCGGGTGCCCGCAGTGATAGTTTCTAGATAATTGCAGCTGCTTGCTGGCGCTGGTCACGATACCCGGAGAGGCTGGCAATGGAGCTGGCGCTGGAGCTGCCAGTGGAGCTGGAGCTGGCGCTAGTGCTCCGGGGAACAATGAGAGATGGAGAGATGTTGTGGGGGTGGCCGGTGGGCAGGGGGATGACGTGAGAAGAAAATATTTTAGAGATGAGCACTGGTAGACGGGAGACGGGGATACTATGGGGAAAGGCAGGAAGATGGGACGGGATGCTTTGAGGAGGAGCAAGGAGATGGGGGACGGGCCTGCTGTGGGAAAAGTGAGCGATAAGATGGGCATAAAGCATAGAGAAGCCGGTCGGGATGGCGACCGCAGCGCAGCACAGTACACTAACTCGGCGCCTCTGAGCTCCAGAGCTCCGGGGTCAGATCCTGATGACCCGTTTCGTGTGTTGCTAAGTCCACGGTTACGGCGTCTGGCTTTCTAAGTCGGAGTAATTGATGGACGCTCGATGAGGGGATAATGCGGATCGTGTGCGATATGGCCGCTGTGGGCTTTGGGATGTCGCGTGGGGATGGTGTCAGACATTTTTAGCGCTCGAGGCGCGTCCCACTTGTGTGCAGTAGAAGTCACATAATATTTAAACATCTTTACACCTGTAATCTTTGAGGCCCTTTACGATTGAACCTTAACTTTCGTTTCACTCTTAGTTTGTTTAAGCATTAGTGATATTAACAATGATTAACTGTTCAGTTGAAGATATAAGGAAATTAGATAAGCGAGATAAAAATGAATAAAACTGGCTTATTTATTTTGTTTTCTGAGCGATATGAATAATGTGAGACATATAATTAAAGCAACTCAAAAGTTAAATTAACTAGGTGCAACATGCAAAAGCCTATATAGGTCCCAATTTGACGACAAAAAAAAAACTTGCTGAATGGAACTAAGAACGGAACATGAAACTAAAGACTGCAGCGGTGACCGTTCACGTGTTTTAAATGGAGGGTTACGTGTCTTGACCTCCCGGAAGCAGTGCACATCCTTACACTTTCCCATCTGGCTGGGAACTGCACTCATATATCGCGTCTGTCCACAGGACTACCACTTCATCCTCTTCAGGAGAGTGGCAGCTTTGTTTGATCTGCCTCGCTCTCCCTCCACCACTTTCAGTACCAAGTGCGACTTCCTCTGAATGAGCTGTCTACTTCATATTCCCCTCGACAGCCGCCCCCAGCGGGCGGGATGCCTCTCATTTCAGTCACGGAGTCACGTGCTCCCAAAACACGAGACGTCCTTCTCACTGACTCTTGAAAAAGGACTCTTGGCGCCCTCTTGGCGAAGACTACCTGAAGCTGGTGCTTTCAAAGGCTGTCTTGTCAAAAACCGTTATCGGAGGTGGTAATGAGCCTTGCTATCGAGATCTGCTGCGGAGAGTTGCTAAGATCGAGACTCGAGAGCTGCTTCCAACGATACCGAGCCGAGGGTCCCGGGATTACAGTCTATACCACCCTCTGCCTGTGCACGTGCGCTTTTGTGCGGTGTCGGCGTCGCCCGGGCCGCGGATGGGGCCGGCTGGTCTGACCGCCTTCCGCGCCGCGATGATGAGTGAAAATGAAGGGCCCTCGGGAGCCGGCAGCGGTTGTAGCTCAGTGTGTGACGGCCACTGCAGTACGTGCGCTGTCGACTGCGGCGCCAACGGGACGTGTGCGAGTGTGTGATGTAGGTCGGTAGTCAGCATTCAGAAGGCTGCTGGGTGAAAAGGGTGGGGAGGAGTCGGCAGATGAGAGGCGCTGCACCTGCTAACTATACGTGTGTACACCGAGCCGCACAGTCCGACGCTGGACCCAGGCCTCATTGAAATAACCTTCCAAGTTACGTGTTACCTTCCTAACACGTAACTTGAACACATTGCAAATGATACCTACTGGTGATTGAAACCAACTAAACTTACTTACAAGGATTCTTTTTGGAATAATTCAATGTTTACAATAAAAATGGTCCTCATTTTTGCATGACTTGAAGTATAAAAAGTCAGGATATTTCCAACTTTAGCCGTTTCATGGTGTTAGCTGGCAGCTTTTAGGCATCTTCTCAGATATTCACCGAGTAGTACTTGCAATCCAGGCAGTGTTCACAGTTCCTCTTTCTCCTGCCCCGGTATAATTTGGCAGTGTTCCAGCATCCCATGTCTCAGTATAGTCTGGAGCGCGGTGAAAGTCTATTGTAGTTGTGACACAAGAAAGAAATTAAATCGATAGCGTCTAATGATGGGACCAGGGTGTCGGATAAAAAACGTCTAGGACGCAGTGTTTCATTGTTCACAGCAAATAAAGCGCGAAGGACGATCTAGCGAGAGATCTTGCTATTGACCTCCATGGTCAAATGCCGTTTTCGAGGTCAACTGCCGCGAAGACACAATTTCCGGTATGATGGTCAAAGTCGGCAAATGCGCATTGGTATATCATGGTTTTGCAACAATGTCCAAAGGATAACTGTGAATTAACCGACCCCTACACATGACAACACAGACGTAGCCTAAATTTACTGGTTGAGCACGGCTTTTTGCTATGCGAGTAATACGCTGAACTGCTCCGGTGGTCAGCATTTCAACTCCCAACCCAATGCGAAATCAACACTTTTTGTTTGAAACCCTCACCAGCACTTTTCCATTCCGGTCCATTTCAGCCGTCCCCTACCATATACACTCGTAATATCCGTCACCCGAGGGTCCCCTGGGGAGATGTTACGACACGGACCGGCCCAAAGCCGCCCCATTAGTTGCGCGGAGGAGTGGACTTCCCTGGCCCCGGTGCGCCCGTCCGAACGGTGAGGTCACTTTCGCCGCGCTACCCCTCTGAGAGAGGATCCGTTCGGCATCCAGAGATAGCGGCACGTGAGTTTTGTGATATGGAGGTCACCGAAACACAAGTGACAGAGTGAGACTCGTCAGAGATTCGGGGAATTTGGGACCGCAACGCGTGATAAAGGCACAAATGGAGCAGTTCGACGTGCCTCTGGGGTGATGGTGGGACGGCTTATTTGACGTTAATGTGGGCAATCATCAATGCGCTTGCTCCCGGCCTTCTGATGGATGGACAAACATCACGTTTGTTGATTTCTCTAAAGCCCAGAAATGGCTAGGCGCACCTCCGCTGTACCTAAATAATGCCCATCTTGAGTTTTAAATGCGTTTGCACGGTGTTGCCGTACTATGCCCCCGGTCCGGGAGCGCAAGGGCCGACTACTATGGACGTCAAACCCCTTGAGACCCCACTTTTTTGCGATAATTTTTAAATGCGTCAACTTTCGTTGACAATATTCTGGCAATGTATGTTTCAGAACCTGCCGAAACTTTTATTACTAAGGTATTTTGACGCCAAACGATTATGGAAGGTACTTCTCATTCACTCGTAATGTTAAGGTCAATTCAGGCCCGGGCAGAGGCTTGCGCTCGGCCACACTCTAGCCCCGCCACCAGCGCCATCTGCTCTAAATACCATCTACCAGCGCCCGCTACCGCTACCAGCTACCGCCCACCATCAAGCCTGAATGGAGCGAGAGACGCGAGTGACCGGTCGCCGGGCAAGGAGCGCCGGAGGGGTAGGGCGGAGCTTAGCGCTGACGTCATTACGTGGCTCCGCCCCATGAGCGCGTAGCCTCTACCCAAACAGCGGATTCGTTCCGTGAAATTTAACATTACGAGTGAATGAGAAGTACCTTTAATAATCGTTTGGCGTCAAAATACCTAAGTAATAAAAGTTTCGGCAGGTTCTGAAACACACATTGCC